AGAGGCGCCAGCGGCGGGGCCGCCGCGGCCACCGCCCCGCCGCACGGCACGTCCTGGCAAGCCCCGCCAGCCAGAGGGCTGCTCTCACTGAAAAGGAATGAGATAACCATGACTTTCCCAGCTACCCTTTATTTGATGCAATTTCAGCGTAAACATAAGCTAGGGCAGTGTCCTGAAAAAGCTGACAAAAATGTAAGCAAGTCAGCTGCGTCTGACAGGCTGTGGGTCAGCTGCAAGAGATGCACTGCTTCTTCCAAAATGATCTGTGTAGTAACATAAGTGGTTTTTACTGCAATGCATTACTAAAAAGAAGCAAAAAAAAAAGAATGTAAGGTTACTTTCTGGAATAGTTGATGGAAAACTCTAGGCAGAGGTCAATAGTGAATTGTTTCTCCTTAGAAGGATATTGGTGTCCACACTGCACCTCAAGAGGCTATTCAGAAAAGCAAGAGGAAATACCATGAGAAATTATAGGGAAGGAATTTTTTTTTTAAGATACATAAAAGGATAGCTGCAATCTCAGCATTGCAAAATTCCTTTAAAATGAAGATTAGTGCAATGGCTTAGTATTCAGAAAATTCAGAGCAGTAACTTTGTCTGTATGTAAACCAGTTCCACAAACACACAATTAATAAAAGACTAGCACGATTCTACCTCCTGGAAACACTGCAAAGATAAATACATTAATGACTGCAAGGCTCTCAAAATCTCCACTGAGGGAGTCACTTCAGAAACAAGACAGCAAGACAGAATTAGTGAGTATGTGTGTGTCATTAATAATACCTTTGCCAAGCAGCCTATTGACTTCTCTAAAATGTTTAGCCTGTAGAAAGCCATAACAGCATGGCTACAAGCTGCAAAAGATTTCATTATCATTTTTAACTTCAGGATAAGATAGGGAAAAATGCTATAGAGCTTCATTGCTGTGACAAATCATGAGTCTGTTCAAAGTAACTTCCTCAGCTGTTTTACAAAACTGCCATGCAGTTAATCTGGCTCAACTCCTTTTTAAACAAACCTGAAGACTTGCAGTCTGCTAAGTCACCAACTCATCACAGATCTTTTTTTCTGGCTTCAGCAGCAAGTGGTACAAGTAACAGAAGGCACATGCTCAGCGATAAGTTAAGCAGGATGATAAGCACTAAGCTGGGGGGCAGCAAAGTCTAGAGCGGCACAAACTCAGCTGACTGCTTTCCTCTGCACCTACCCTGCCTTGTCCCAGCACAGCCCTCCCAGCTCCATCATCTCCGTCATAAAAGCAGGACTGGCTCTCTGGGCAACAAAGACTGAGTTATAACATTTCTTTCAACCCCATCCTTCAAACTATAGCTCCCTGGAGCTCCGTTCAGCAGGACTCTGCACTGCTATGAAGTGCAAACATCCTTGTTTTCTGAGCTGTGTGGAACGCCCTCGTCCTCTGGAGGACACGGCGGAACAGCACAAGTCATCCTTGGAATAAACAGGAAAGAGAAAGGGCTCCCCGAACAGCGAGATACAGAGAAAGTGGGGACAAACACTGAAGAGAGGTGGGGGTGACTGCAGCTGAGCTACAGAAACACAAGGCAGAATATGCAAGTGGATGTCAAAGCTGGACTTCATTTGTATATTGATGGCTCGCCAGGTAAATCCTGCACAATCTCACTTGTTTCCATCAGCAGCAACAAAAACAGAGTGCTGCTGCTGAGGGACAGGGAGCCTAGTTAAAGTGCCACTGCCATGGGGGAACAGTGCTCTCAGCAGAACAGGCAGGGCACGAGGGAGAGCACAAATTAACTTGACGTAATGGAACAACTCTGTTAGGATCCACAGACCAAATGCTCTGGGTCAGTTTTCCATCCTGCCCTCCACAATACCACTAGCCCCTTTCAAATCCTGCTTAGCATTTACCAGAAATACTTTTAAACCATATCACAGTTCACAATATGAAATTAGAACAGGTGTCATTAAGTTGATCCCTGTGAAAATAAGCGATCTGGCAACACTCCAAAACTCCCAAACAACACATGTAGCAGGAAGGTAGTAAGGGGCTGGCAAAGACAAATTAAATAGCTGTAATTCCTTTCTTTCTGAAAAACAAGTATTGGCTTCTCTGTATGTAAAGGCAGGCCTTTGACAAGCAGGAAGCAAACACACTTGCAGTTTGCTATAACTCCAGAGATATCGAGTCCCAGACACGCTGCTCACATCTGCAGTTTGGAATGCTGCACCTGTACTCAGCTTCTCCTCCTGTCTGTCTGCTGGGAAGATCTTTAATCAAACACAAGATGTTTCAAAGCTAATATTCCACAAAACAATCTGCAAGCCATCAAGAAATTCTGTGCAAAAGCTGCCACCTAATGTTCAGGAAAGTAACTGCATTTACTCAAGGAAAACACAAGCACCTCATGCAGCAAACACTATTTATTTTTTTTTCCTCTATGTCCTATTAAAGAATTCACTTACTTTAAACACACCAGCAAAAACATATTTGCCAGCAATATCTGAAATCGCTCAGAGATCTGAATCTCTGCAATATTTCATTTTTATCCAGTGTTTTACAGCTTCATGCTATTACACAAAGTAATACCTTGGTAGCGAAGTATCATGTATGCAGAATAAAGAAGCATAAAACCAAAGCACTGATCACAGCGTGAAATCCCAATCTTAGAATACACTATCATGAGAAATAGGACAAAAACTTTTTGAAATATATTGTCAAGATAACTCTTTTTGAATCTCAGAGTACCATCAGCCCACACTAGTGTTATCTATTAATCTCTCTAATCCGCACAGAACAACCATTTGGTTAGGAAGTACCACTGCAAGTCTTAACACAGCCATAGAGGTGACCTATCCAGCACCTTGCTCCATAGTGCACCAAGTTCTGCTGCTGTGAGGCAGAGCCTTTTCCAAAGCTCATTTATCACTCATCAACTCATCTTTTTGAACACTGCTAGCAGTAGCACGGGAGTTCTCATATCCGTCTGTACAGACTTGAATTACAGCACACCTGTAACACGAGCACAGTATTCTGGGAATTTATATAAATGAACTGCTGACTTCCTCCACCATGCGATTTACAATGCAGTACAAAAACAGAAAATGTAACGGAAAATGTCGCTCCTCTTTCCCCTGGCACCTCCACACAAACAGCCAGAGTCTATTTTCTGCTGCAAAGACAAAAAGCAGGACGGCAGCGAGGGGTCATCAGGTCTTAAATCTAAATGGTTCCTTTTTACTTTTTTAGCTAAAAAAGAGATTCCTAATAAATCTGTACTCTTATTTCAGCAAACTTGGTCTCACAAATTTCATATTTCAAAATAACACTGTCATTCAACTTAATTTTGGTTTCATTAAAGCATTTCTGTTCTTCACACATATTAAATAGGAAATTGAACATAAGGAAATACGACAAATAATGTGAATGCAACCGTAATTTACTTACTTCTCCTGTGATTGGATTGGTTCCATACTTTTTTATCCAAGGAAGAATGCTCCTGAAAAGAGAGAGGATAAACTAATCAATGAAAAGTGTCCCTAGAAATCTGTTTTTGATGGGCTTGACTATTTCTGCCAACTGGACAAGAGCAAATGGTGATCACAGAGAAGGCTGAAGCACAGATGTAAGCAAGTCACAAAAACTAAGCCAAGTAGGGACAGCAACTTACAGTATGTCAAAGACTGTCCCATCTTGGGTGCAAACTGGGTACTCAAATGGCTGCAGAGACAAACTAGAAAAAAAATAGTAGACACTTTTTAGCAAAATCATCTGGAAATCATGACAACAGAGCAAAAAGCACACTGCTGATTTATTTGCACATTGAAACAAAGCCTATACCAATGAAAACAGTGAGTGGTTACCAATATCCACTATCTGATACCATGGAAATTAGATTCCTTATTTTGAAAGGCAGGCTGGCAACTGCAGCTGCCAGCGCCCACAACCGCACAGCCCCCAAACGGACACTGCAACATTCCCGAGGCCGCTCCCGCTGCCGCGCCGGCTCCCGGCAGCACGAAGGGCAGCTCGAGCTCTCGCTGCCTCTGTGCTGAACAGGGCTGCGGAGCAACCAGCTCGCACAGCAGCACCCACCTTAGGGCTGCTTCCAAAACCCAGCCAGATTTTTGCCAAGCAACATTGTTGAAGAGGGTTGGTAACTTCTTGAAACATCTGATTCGCAAATTTTAAAACACCTTTATAAATGCTAACTTCACTCTTTTCACTCCAGCTCTTCAACTAAGTTCTAAGCACAAAGTGTTAACATAAATACTCCTTCAATCTAATCACTCCTTCACAAAGATGAATGATTGATTAAAGACGTTCTTACCAGTGAAAAGCAGAGAATCAAGTCCCAGTTACAGAGACTGTAAGACTGGAACATGCTACACAATGTTAATTGAAGTATTCATCACACTTGTGTATCATTTAGTCCCCAGGTTCGACCTCAATAGACACTAACCAGGGGACACAGTCCTTACCGGAATATTTCTTGCCACATTAACTTCACAGCACAAACAAGTCAATGGAAATTCACTTGTTCTACTTCAGAAGAACACGTAACCAGTAATAGTTTAAGACCAACAGACTGATGCATAAATTTGTCATTGGAAGATGATAATATAACTTCATAGTCTCTCTTTTGCTCTTACCTGCAGTGATCGAACGATAAACGTCTAAAATTAGTTCGTGGAAAATCTGTTTATGAAAAAGAAAACACAAAATTTTAATAAATACTGCTAAAATAAAGCATAAATTTACACAAATTCCAAACAAACAAACAAAAAACCCACAACTCTGACAGATTTACAGCATTGAACTTAAATTAGATGGATAATACTGCTACTATCTTCAAGCTTTATACTACCAGTAGACAGAGACCTAACTGAGAGCAGAGATTATCTGCTCTGGGTATCGCACTCTGCCTTTCTCCAGTTTTCACTCCAAACAAGATGAACGTTCCTGCTTTTAGGACTCCTCTGAGTCCAGCAGCTCAGACCCAGGAGCAGCAATAGGAGGATGCTCCACTCAAGAGGCCACTTCATCAGCCACCCTGTGTCAAACCAGCCCACCTGCCCCTAGGGCCTCAATATTCCCAGGTGAAGGAACCAAAGGACTGGACAGGATAAGCAGAACAAACCCTGAGGGGCTCCAATAGAGCAAAGAGAAGGAGACTTCAATTACATAAATAGAAAGAACGGAAACCAAGAAAGTTGCAGCAACAGGAGTAGGATGTCTGCCAACATCTGGGCTTTAAAGGAGAAGGATGGCACCCACAGCGTGAGATCTTTCCGGTGGGGAGGGACATTAGCAGCCCCCTAAGAGCAGCTGCAAGGGACCCACCACCAAAAGCCGGGCAAGGACAGGGCTGCAACAGCACCGATGCCCAACAGCCGCGCGGCGAGCGCCAGGCAGAGCGGCCGGGCAGAGCTGGACGCCACTCACCCGCCTTCTTCCCTCCTTAGAACTGCGTGTACTCGTTGCACGTGATGTACCT